TATTCAAGAAATGGTTACTAACTATGGGATCTTGCGTGTACCTCCATCAGTTAATGTGATTTTTACAAAGGATGGAAATCAGGTTTGAGGTCAGGTCATTTCTCCAGGATAACACATGGTGGCTAACACGGTGATGAGTATGGAACCCAGAATGCCAGCCACTGATTACACTGCCTTGACGTTGCTAACAAAGTAAGAAGTAAATCTGTTTTTGGCTTCAAACCTTTCCCCTGCTGTGTTTACACAACCATCCTACAGCATCGAAGAGGAGGCAGGAAAGTTGGGTCCTAAGCCCAGCCCTGGTATCAACTAATTATGTGACATTAGGTAGATAGCTTCCCTTGTTTGGGGAGGACCTTACTTTACGCCGGGACATGGTCATCTTGGGATCGTAGGCTTTCAAACTTGCAGGGAGTCTGCTGTAATCTACTCCAACCTCTTCATTTTCAAGAATTGGAAAATGAAGCCTAGAGGGGAAGTGACTTGCCCTAGTAGTAAGTAAGACATGAGATTGAAGGTAGGTCTTCTAACTCCTGATCCAGGGTGCTCTCTTCTAAAATACTCTTCCTCTTGAAAAGCAGATTGAACTAGATGACATCTAAGGACCCAACTTTCTACACCTAAAAGCATCATCATTCATTTATTAACTCAGCTTCTTTGGAAGAATTTTTGGTCAAGATGTCTGCCTGAGAGTCAGGAAGACCTGAGTTCAAATGTGACCTCAGACACTTGACACCTACTAGCTGTGTGATCCTGGGCAAGTCACTTAACCCCATTTGCTTCACCAAAAAGCAAAACAAAAACAAAAACAAAAAAAGTCTGCCTAAATGGAGGCAGACTGCCCAGTTCCTACATATTTACTGCAGACCTCCCCCCCGCAAAGCTCTCACTAGACTAAATAATGATCAAGAAACCAAATGAACAGCTACAGTAAATGATTTTTTTCCACCCCAGAACTGTCCAAGATGTCAGCCAGAAGCCTGAGGACAAGAAATAAGAGGGACTGCCTGCAAAGTCAGTGCCAGAGCTCATTAGCCTCTCAGTACAACTAGGGACCAATTAGGGCATGTATAGCCTGCAAAGTTCTGTGGTGACTGTAAGACTATCAGTTCCCCCCCCAAAAAAAAAAGCCCCAGAGTCAGGACATTGGAAGCTTTGGAGAGCAGCAATATAGGCACAGCAGCACTTGTATCAGGAACACTAAGGTCCCTGATACTTTGTCCTGAGATGCCAGAGAAGGCTCTGGAGAGACAGTGCTCTGAACTTCAAAGATCCAGGGAGCCTAACCCTGTGAAGCAGAGGTCAATGCAGGGTCCAAGAAACCCAGGGCAAGACCAAATAGGGCCAACCATATCATCCAAAAGTGCAACTGGAGGCAAAGCCTGGCCCTGGCACAAAGCCCCAATTCAGGAGCTAAAGATGACGTGCAGTAAATCACAGAAGACAGATTAGTACCAGTTTCCTTGGGAGGTGGAGACAGAAGCATCTTTTCAAAAGACTGGTAGGGCAGCTGACCCAGGTCTCTCACACTTCAAAGTTTCCCTACTACATGAATATGTGGAAATTTGAAAATATTGAGCATTGCCATGATTTTTCAGGAATCTTGAATAATCACTTTCTAAAGCTTCACTGTATGACTTGGATAATGTTAACAAGTTATTGCCATGAGTGTTTTCCTTCCTTCCTTCCTTCCTTCCTTCCTTCCTTCCTTCCTTCCTTCCTTCCTTCCTTCCTTCCTTCCTTCCTTCCTTCCTTCCTTCCTTCCTTCCTTCCTTCCTTCCTTCCTTCCTTCCTTCCTTCTTTCCTTCCTTCCTTCCTTCCTTCCTTCCTTCCTTCCTTCCTTCCTTCCTTCCTTCCTTCCTTTCTTTCTTTCTTTCTTTCTTTCTTTCTTTCTTTCTTTCTTTCTTTCTTTCTTTCTTTCTTTCTTTCTTTCTTTCTTTCTTTCTTTCTCTTTCTCTATTTCTATCTACATCTAGATTGCAGATGAACTCTGATTATCATAACCTATCAAAACAAGGTCTTTGACTTCAAGTTACTGCCATCACCACAAATACTATCACTGATGCTTAAGGGAGGGCTTTCTATTTGTACTATGGTGTTAAAGAATCATAAAATCACAGGGCTGGAAGAGGCAAAATGTTAGAATTTATACTTGTCCTCATTAAATTTAATCTGGTTTACATTTGGCCCATTGTTTTCAATTGTCAACAGCTTTTGGATTTCTGATTCTATCTCAAGTGTTTCAGCTCTCCATCCCAGCTTTGTGTCATTTATAAATTTGATAAACATGCCACCTATGCCTTCATCTGAGTACATTTTTGAACTGCACAGAGTCAAGCACAGGTCCCTGGAATGCTCCATTAGAATCCTCCTTTCACATTGGCTTCCATCTGTTAATGTCTAGTCATGGGGACTGGTCATTCAACCAGTGCTCAATGCCTCTAGCTGCCCTCTTACCTAGCCTACATCTCTCCCTCTTGTCCATAAGGATAGCATGAGAGACTTTGCCAAATTCTTTGCCAAAATCCAAATCTAATAACTATTAAAAAAGAAACTTAATTCAATTAAATATTAATTAAATATATGTTATGAATGCCAAATATAACAACATAAAATACTACATAAATATATTAGAGAGGTACAAAATAGAGTATTAAGTGAGGTCTAAGAGGTCACAATGCACTGTCTCGGGAGATAAGATATCCCCAAATCAAGGAATTTCATAGATATTAATTCTATGCTCTAGAGACAGAAAAGACTGGAAAGATCAGCCAGGCCAAACCCCCATTTTATAGTGAGGACCCTGAAGTACAGAGAAGTTAAAAGTCACACAGCTAATACCACAGTGCTGGAATTCAAACCTAGGACTTCTGTCTCCAAATCCATTGCAACTTCTATGTCATGAGAATTCTATTTTAAAATACATTGAAAAAACTCTGAAAAGTGTTCACTTTCACTATGGTTGTCACTGACACCATAATTACCAACTGGTACCTTGATCCTTTCTCAGACTTTTTCATTCTCCAACCTTGGAATTCTCCCCTCCTCCCCTCTGGGCGGATACAGAGACTAAAATGTCTGACCTTCCAACATGAAAGAAATGCTAAAAGGCCAAACAAGATCCTATGGCAAATTCTTCCCTCCAGCATCCCTCTCCAGTCCTTGCTTTTTAAGTTTCTCTCAAATTATTTTCCAAGTCAGCAGATTTAATTACATAACATTAGGGGAAATTGGTCCCATTTCTTTATTACTTTTTGTAGCTGAAAAGCAATTACTTAGCAATCACTGATAGGTTTCGTTGTGTGTCTTAGAAGCCAGAGGCTTTGAAAATTATTGCACAGAACCAAAAACTGGCTTTGAAGATTTTTTCTTTTACTTTTTGTCTTTTTTTGTAGCATAGAATTGTTAAAGGGGAATCAGTGGTAGGGAATAGGGTGTGTTCTTTTGTATTGTGTTGAGTCAAATCCCTGTAAGTGAATATTAGCTGATGGAGCTGCATATGTGATCCTTGGCTAAAACTTCATTCTCTTATAGTCCAATGGGCAACAGATTTTCAGTTCTATGATATCTGGATATCCAAATAGTGTAGGGAGGTAAGGGAAGATGGTGACAAGGATAGTTCCTTATTGTTTTATACCCTTCGAGGTCAAATCTGTTGTTTTATAAAGAATGATCTTTCTATTTCCCTTCGATGTTTCCTGTCATTGGTTGAAATCCAGTCTCTTGAAGTAACACTTTTCAGTTCCATCCTGGTCATCTTCTCTATTGAGATAGTGGTGTGATGCTTAGAAAGCTGGTCTTAGAGTCAGGAAGACCTGGGTTCAAGTCTTGCCTATGAGACACTAGCTATGGATCTTAGGCAAGTTATTTAACCTTTCTGAGTCTCATTACCTTCATTTCTAAAATGCTGACACTAATAGTGCTTTCCTCACAGGATTGTTGTGAGGGTCAAATGAGAATGCACTTAAAGCAGTTTGCTTACTTTATTGTGTTATGTCAGGGAATCTTAATGTTTTGGGTGTCCAAGGGTCTATCGACCCTTTGGGTAGGTTAGTGAAGCCTGTGGATGGACTCCTCTGAATCATGTTTTTAATTAATTGAAAGAAATGTTAAATTTCGGTTAGAGGTCAGTGAAAATAAAGATGTAATTTGTTTCCCGTCCGATTTCACAGACCGTTCCCCACCCCCCACCCCCAAAAAATCTACCTATAGATCCCTTGAAGGTCTATGGATGCCAAGTTAAGAGTCCTTGTGGAAAAAAAAAAGAGTCCTTGTGTTATATATATTTGAATTACTATTTGTTAACCAGGGTCAGTTTCATGCCTGGATGAAGCAGACAAATGTGTGAAATGATGCCACGTAGGTTCATTGAGAAAGAACTGGCATTTCTTCCAAATCTAAAGATACACTATCTGGCCAATGCTAGAAATTCTACTACTAAAATTTAGAGCCATCATGTTGCAGAATGTTGGAGCTGAAAGGGACTTTGAAGCAGAGGTATAACCTGAAATCTTTGTGCCTAGGGTAAGGGGAAAACAAGATGGGGAATAATAGAGTAGGCAAGTCTGCCCTAGGAGTCTGCTAGATTCCTATACTGCTGAAAGACTGGCTGCTTTTGGTGGGGTGGAGGTAAGGGAGAAGGCAGATGGCAGTGTGGGTTGAAGCCAGGGATGTGGCTACCATGGGAGTTGTTAGGCCCTCTAAAGGTTGGTGTCCTATAGCAAACTGGCAGTCATTCTACTCTAGCTACGACTGCTTTAGAATTATCACATGTGGCCCCCTAGGTCCTTGGGTATGGCCTTTTGACTGAGTCCAAGTTTTATAGAACAAATCCTTTTATTACGGGGATTTGTTCCTGTGAAGTTTGGATTCAGTCAAAGGGTCCCACTTAAGGACCTACAGGGCCACATATGGCTTCGAGGCAGCAGGGTCCCCACCCTGACCAACCCTCTCATTGTTACATATGGGGCAACTATGCCCCAAAGAGTTGACTTGTCACACAGCAAGTAACACCCAAACTCAAAAGTCTACTTCCTCCATGGAGCCTTCCCTGCTTCTCACAGATGGTAAGGACTTTTCCCATGGGACCTCGCATGACATTTTATTTTGTACCTCTCTCATGCATTTCTCAAAGAGGGTTGTGTGAAAAACAGTATCGTGCTTTATCTGCTACCATCCCCTACCCTCCCATGAGAATATAAAATCTCTAAAGGTAAGGACAGTATAGCATTAACCTTCATATTCCTTTCAGTGTCTAAAAGGAGGCTTTTTCCTGGAGGGGGCCCTCATTGGGGAACACAGATGAACACTCACAAAATTTGGTGATAACACACAAAAAAATCATATCATCCTGAGACAGTAGGATATAGTGAAAAGAGAACCAGATGTGAAGTCACATGACCTGAGTTAAAATCCTGCCTCTGCTGTTGGTGTGAACTTAGAAAAGTCGCTTTCTGTCTCTGAGGCTTGGTTTTCTCATCAATAAAATGGGCATAGAGAGGTAGTATGGTAGAGTGGATAGAAAGCTGGCCTTTAAGTCAGAAAGAATTGGGTTCAGGAATTGGGTGACATGACACAGGGCAAGTCACTTGAATGTTCAGGGTGCCAAGCAGTTCTCTGAGTCTAGAAGTTAAAATGAATGTTTTAGAAGCATTGGTGGAGGGAGTGCCCATGCTATGATGTTTCCATATTAATGAAATCAAAGGTACAGCTTCACACACACACACACACACACACACACACACACACACTCACACACACACACACATTGGTGTAATAGTACCTGAATTACCACCTTCATAGTTTTGGCATCAGGTTAGCGCTTTAGAAGCCATAAAACATAGAAATATGAGTGAAATTGCTTGGCGCAGACTGTATTCAAAGAAGGGAAAGGCTACTGTGGGCAGCTGTGGTTAGAGATACCTTCATGGAGGAGACAGACTTGAAATGGTCCTTGGAGGATGGGGAAGATTAGGATAAATTCAAAGTAAGGAAGTTATAAGGAATCCCAGAGCTAGAAAGAAATAGAGACCATCTGGTGCAACTCATTTTACAGATAAAGAAACAGAGACATAGAGAGGAAAGTAATTTCAGGATACCATGAGCAAGGGCAGAATCAAAGAATGTCAGCTTTGGAAGGGATTTCAGAAGTCATGTAGCCTATTTTGGACCTGAACAGGGATTTCTGAGAAGTAGCCATCCATCCAACCTCTTCCTAAAACCTCCAATAATGGTGAATGATGTCCAAAGACAGACCATCTTTGTGTGAACAGCGCTAATTATTAGCAAGTCTTTTCCCCTTATAGTCCAAATTTCCTTCTCTGGAACTATGACCCTCAATTCTGGCTGAGTAGAACAAGCCTCATCTTCTTCCCCATGATACCCCTTCTAAATCATGGAGATAGTGATCATGATCTGGAAGCAACCAGTATTTTCGTTGGCATGGCTTCCAGCCTTCTAACCACTGTAGGGTTCAAATTTGTCTATTTAAAAATGTGGCACTTTGGAATTGAGCACAGTGCTTCAGATGGTGTCTAAGCAGGCTAGAGGACAATGATTCTCTTCTGTTCTGAGCCCTGTGTTCGCATGAATGCAATATAAGATTGCATTAGCCTTTTGGCTGCCATGTTACACTGTTGTTCTTGAAGGTCAGGAGGTCTCCAGATCTTTTTCAAAGGAGATCACCTTATATAGTCACCCTTTCACCACACTGGCAAGCATGGCTATATAAGACTTTGACTGGAAGTTTGGGCTAGCTAGGTGGAGTAGTAGATAGCGTGATCAGCCTGGAGTAGGGAAGACTCATCTTCCTGAGTTCAAATCCAGTCTTGGACACTTACTAGCTGTGTGACCCTAGATAAGTCACTTAACCCTGTTTGCCTCACTTTTCTCATCTGTAAAATGAACTGGAGAAGGAAATGGCAAACCACTGCAGTATCTTTGCCAAGAAAACCCCAAATGGGGTCACAAAGAGTCAGAGTTGCTGAAAAGTGACTAAACAGCAAATTGGGCTTAATGCATCTCAATTCCACAAGCACCTATTATGCCTTGAAAACACTATGACAAACAAGTGAATTGCCTGAGGTCACACAGGTGTTAATTAGCAGAATCAAAACCCAAACCCAGGCATGCTGATGCCAAATCCAACAAACCCACTATAGCCTCTTTCCCTTATTGTTTTGTGGTGCCCGTTGCTACAGCTCTCCTTTCCCTGACCAGAATGAAGGCTCTCCCAAAGGGCAATGGGACATTCTCCCAATAGCCCACGGAGTAAGCTCTCTCTATATTCTACTTTTCATGGCGAGGATAGTTAAGAAGAATGTAGGCAAACCATTGCTATTGGGAGGCTGTTAGCATCACAACCAAGTAAGTCTAGCCTAAGTGTTTAGCTTTAGAATTCTGAGAGGATACACACTGTTAGACAGGTAAGACACACCTTTCTCTTAGCTGTCTGGCAATCACTAATTACTCCTCGGGTTAGAAAGGAAGATCCAGATGTGTTCTTGATGCTGGTGATTGCTAGTTAGGCAGGCTGGCAATGAGATGGTAATGAGAGTAGATAGTAGTTACTGAATAACAAAGCAGATGAAGGTTTGAGAAAGAGGGAGAGGAAACAGGGATAGGGAGTAGTTATTGAGGGGATGCAGATAAAGTACTTGAATACTGAGGAGTATGTGTAAGGAAAGAAGTTTTTGGTTTTTTGTTTGTTTGTTTTTGTAATTTGGAGCCTCGAAGATGTTCCCACTGAGAGTAAAGTGAGGAGAAAGGCATTCTCCCTCAATTAGACAATGGCTTAATTGTTGTTTTTTAACTGAGGGAAGAGAGATGGAAGGGAAAGAAAATAAGATGTTTGTTTATTGAAAATATGAACTTAAAAATTAGGGAATGACTAAATAATTTGCTCTGTTTCCCCCCAGTGGCTCTGCCTTTATCTTCTTGTGTTAGTGAGGATCCTACTGCCTCTAGCAGATCTACTGAGGGTCTGGTATCATGGAAATTTGCCCAGCTTGTCCTTACTAGGCCATTCAATCACACTATGATTATTATTGTCCAAATTAAGTGGGTGTTTACTTTTAATCTTTCAGTCATTTGTGATTTTCTGACAAAAGGGTAGTTCCTCCCTTGAGCCTGATCACAATCTTCTCCTGTGATTCTTATCCATGTTTTCCCATAAATCCTGCACAGGGAATCTGCCTATCTAGACTGAGGTTTGTTCTTTTTAACATCACCAGAATACCATTCTATGATCTGGATTTTTCATCTTCTGTCTTTCATTCTCTCAATGAGACTAAGCAGTCTGATTCCTTTTCTGGTCATACATGTCAGGGTTTCCTGGCAACTGTAACCATCCCCATCTTACAGATGAGGAAACTGAGAGTAAGAGGGGTTAAATAATAACAACAAAATCCAAGAGATGTAAATAGGGAAGTCCCATTCCAAGTAATTACAAAATGTATATAATGTTTGTGGATCAATGTACCACAGCTCACAAAATATTTGTATACACTCAATTTCAAAGTGTTACTTAAGGAAATAAAAAAAAACCCAATATAAATACTGGGAAGAAGTGTTCAAGACTGGACCATGCCAAAATAATAAATGACAATACTCTCAAAGTTAATTTACAATTTTAATGCTATACCAATCAAATTATCAAAAAGATATTTTATAGAACTCATCAAAATTATAATAAAATTCACTTGCAAAAAATGAAAGGTCCAGAATTTCAGAGGAGATAATGAAAATAGGTAGGAATGAAGAGAGAATAGCACATTAAGTCTTCAAACCATATTATAAAGCAGTAACCATCAAAACCTTTGCTAAATGTTAAAAATAGGTAGATCAACAGAACAGATTGTGCAGCAGAGAATCAGAAAAATTGAACTCAATAACCTAGTGTTTGATAAACTGGAAAACATAAATTACTTATGAAAGAATTCCCTCTTTTATGAAAACTGCAAGGAAAACTGGAAAGAAGCTTGGCAAAACTTAGATTTCGAACAACACTTTAAAAATAAATATCATACAATAAAAAAAATTAGAAGAGAAGCAGATTATACACCTTTCACAGCTGGGAAAAGAGATGTATTCTTAACTAAAAAGGGATGAGAGCAATTACAAAAGATAATATACATAACTTCGATTACAAAACGGAAAAGCTTCTTCACAAAGAAAATTAAGGCAATAAGGATAAGAAGGAAGTAGTCGAATGGGGGAGAAAAACAACTTTGCATCATATTTCTCTGGTAAGGGTTTGGTATCCAATTGGTAAGCAATTAACAGTTAAGATCAAAAGCCATTCCCCAATAGATAAGACAACAAACCATTCTAAAAAGAATTGCAAACTCTTAACAGCCTTATAAAAGAATGCTCCAAATCACTACAGATAAGAGAACACATTTAAGATTTTATCTCCTGCCCTACAAATTAGCAAAGATGACAAAAGATGGGAATAGTCAATGTTGAAAGAGTTGTGGTAAGGTGGATACACTAGTGCATTGCTGGTGGAGTTGTGGCTTAATATAACCATTCTAGAAAGCATTTTGGAATTATGCAAATAGTGACTAAAATACCCATAGTCTCTGACCTAGAAATTCCCATTACTGGGCTTATACCACAAGAAAGACATTGATAAACAGAATGTATGTACAGTAGCACTTTTTGTAACAGCAAAGAATTGAAAACACAATTTCCCATCTGTTGGGGAATGGCTAAATAAACTGTTGTATATGAATGTAATGGAATATTACCATCCTATAAGAAATTATGAATATATCTGATACAGAGAAGCATGGAAAGATCTATATCAAATGATACAAAGTGAAGTAAGCAGAGCCAAGAAAACAATATACATTACTACAACAATATAAATAGAAAGAACAGCTATAAAAAAAAATTGAAGTGAATGTTGCGAAATTACCAAGTGTGGCTCCAAAGAAGAGGTAAGAAGATACTCCCATTCCACATCTTTGCAGAGGTGGAGATCTACCAGTGTGCTACATTGCACATGTTATCAAACATTTTAAAAATATATTAATAAATGTTGATGATTTTTTCCTCTTCTTTT